TAGGAGGTCAGAGGACAGATGGGTGGAGACTCTATTAGGGTGTGAGGGGCTGTTGGAGCTCAGAGTACAGGTGTGTGGAGACTATTAGGATGTGAGGGGCTGTAGGAGCTCAGAGGACATGTGTGTGCAGACTCTTAGGGTGTGAGTGGCTGTAGGAGCGCAGAGGACAGATGGGTGGAGACTCTATTAGGGTGTGTGAGGCTATAGGAGCTCAGAGGACAGATGCGTGGAGACTCTGTTAGGGTGTCAGGGGCTGTAGGAGCTCAGAGAACAGGTGCGTGGAGACTCTATTAGGGTGTGAGGGGCTGTAGGAGCTCAGAGGACGGGTGCGTGGAGACTGTTACGGTGTGTGGGGCTGTAGGAGCTCAGAGTACAGGTGTGTGGAGACTATTAGGGTGTGAGGGGCTGTAGGAACTCAGAGTACAGGTCTGTTTAGACTGTTGGGGTGTGAGGGGCTGTAGGAGCTCAGAGGACAGATGGGTGGAGACTCTATTAGGGTGTGAGGGGCTGTAGGAGCTCAGAGTACAGGTGTGTGGAGACTCTTAGGATGTGAGGTGCTGTATGAGCTCAGAGGACAGTTGTGTGGATACTCTATTAGGGTGCGTGGGGCTGTAGGAGCTCAGAGGACAGGTGTGTGGAGACTCTGTTAGGATGTGAGGGGCTGTAGGAGCTCAGAGGACAGGTGTGTGGAGACTCTGTTAGGCTGTGAAGGGCTGTAGGAGCTCAGAGAACAGGTGTGTGGAGACTCTGTTAGGGTGTGAGGTGCTGTAGGAGCTCAGAGTACAGGTGCGTGGAGACTGTTAGGGTGTCAGGGGCTGTAGGAGCTCAGAGGACAGGTGTGTGGAAACTGTTAGGGTGTCAGGAGCTATAGGAGATCAGAGGACAGATGGGTGGAGACTCTATTAGGGTGTGTGAGGCTGTAGGAGCTCAGAGGACAGACGCGTGGAGACTCTGTTAGGGTGTGAGGGGCTGTAGGAGCTCAGAGAACAGGTGCGTGGAGACTCTATTAGGATGTGAGCGGCTGTAGGAGCTCAGAGAACAGATGCGTGGACACTCTATTAGGGTGTGAGGGGCTGTAGGAGCTCAGAGGACAGGTGCGTGGAGACTCTGTTAGGGCGTGAGGGGCTGTAGAAGCTCAGAGAACAGGTGTGTGGAGACTCTGTTAGGATGTGAGGGGCTGTAGGAGCTCAGAGGACAGGTGTGTGGAGACTCTATTAGGGTGCGAGGGGCTGTAGGAGCTCAGAGTACAGGTGTGTGGAGACTGTTAGGGTGTGAGTGGCTGTAGGAGCTCGGAGTACAGATGGGTGGAGACTCTATTAGGTTGTGTGAGGCTGTAGGAGCTCTGAGGACAGACGGGTGGAGACTCTATTAAGGTGTGTGAGGCTGTAGGAGCTCAGAGGACAGACGGGTGGAGACTCTGTTAGGGTGTGAGGGGCTGTAGGAGCTCAGAGGACAGGTGTGTGGAGACT